CAAACGCGTGCGGTAAGCTTCTATGTTCTGTTTAAATATGCATTACAAAACATATTGTTGCTGAGAATAGAGATACAATGTGCACTGCTTTTATGAGGCTTTTGAACTTTGTGTGCATTGTTTCAGGCAAAAGCTCTGGCTGAGAAAAATGAGCGAGATCTTCAAATGCAAAGGGAACAAGCCGAGAGACATGTAAGTTCATTTTCTTGACACATGTTGCCTTTTGTTTCTATTTGTAACGACCTAGGCTCATCGCTAGCAGATATTGTCCTTTTTGGACTTTCTCTTTCGGGCTTACCCTCAAGTTTTTTAAAACGCGTCGGCTAGGGAAAGGTTTCCACACTCTCATAAAAGGGGTTTTGTTCTCCTCCCCAACTGATGTGGGATCTCATAATCTACCCCCCTTCAAGGCCCAGCGTCCTCGCTGGCATTCGTTCCTTTCTCCAATCGATGTGGGACCTTTACCAAATCCACCCCTCTTCGGGGCCCAGCGTCCTTACTAGCACACCTCCTCGTGTCTACCCCCTTTGAGGAACAGCCTCCTCGCTGGCACATCGCTCGGTGTCTGGCTCTGATACCATTTGTAATAGCCCAGGCCCACCGTTAGCAGATATTGTCCTCTTTGGGCTTTCCCTTTCGGGCTTCCCCTCAAGGTTTTTAAAACGCTTATGCTAGGAAAAGGTTTCCACACCCTTGTAAAGGGTGTTTCGTTCTCCTCTCCAACCGATGTGGGATCTCACACTATTCCATTTTTAAGTTCATCCATTTCTCTTCTGTGCGTGCTGGAACTATGATTTTACTGCTTTGAAGCTATGTTCCTTGAGTGGATCGGAGAAAACCTGGTTTTTCATATTGTCGTTATTTTTTTCTTCCTGTTTTCATTTATTTTTCTTAAATTTCCTGAGAGACTGAACGTAGATTTGTCAATGAAATAATGAAGTACTCAATGTTGTCTGATAGGAAAAATGGTGCTCAGTTGTATTTCCGTAGATTTTCCTTCATAGGTTGTATCCATGTATTGTTCTTTCCATTTCTTTGGTAACTTATTTGATGATTATAAATAGAAAATTTCACCCCATTTAGGAAGGGTGGTTTTAGCACATATTCTCATGGTATCAGGGCCCTTTTAGTTTAGCAATCCCGATCTTTTATTTTCATGACTTTTGAATCCTCTACTCATCTTCTTCTCCACCACTACGGCTGGCTCCATGGAGCCGATTGATTACTCTTCGGCTCCACCATTCGTCATACTCTGTACATACAACCTCACTTTCTCCTTACAACCTCACTTTCTCCAACACAATCGGTTTTCCTGTGCAGAGAATTGCTGAAACACTGGATGCTGAGATCAAGCGTTGGGCTGCAGGGAAGGAGGGCAATTTACGTGCTCTTTTATCAACTTTGCAATACGTAAGTGTTGTGAATTTAGTAGCTAAACAATCTTGCGAGCAAGTGTTGTATGTTGTCATGGGCTGAGTAGTTTGTTTCACTGTTAAATGTTACAATTAGGTGCTCTGGCCTGAGTGTGGGTGGCAGCCAGTTTCTTTGACTGAGATGGTTATTCCAAATTCAGTCAAGAAAGTATACAGGAAAGCCACGCTATGCATTCACCCTGATAAGGTGCAACAAAAAGGTGCCACTCTTCAGCAAAAGTACGTTGCTGAGAAGGTGTTTGACATTCTAAAGGTAAGAACATTTCCAGTTTGTTATCGATGTTATACGAGCACTTGCGCACGTTAACCGTTTCTATCTCGTAACAACAGGAAGCATGGAACAAATTTAACTCGGAGGAACTTTTCTAAGTTCAATGGATGATTTTTCAAAGACGAAACGGGAGAATGAATGTTTGGTTCAGAGGGCCAACGCAACCGATAAAGGCGTGGCTTTGCAATTTGGTGGACGAGACGACGTCCGACTGGTAATATGATTTCATTGTTTCTCATTCTTTTTCTGCTCATCCTTTTTTTTGTTATTCTGTATAATTGATGATCTTCCTGAGTCTATAAGAGAGAGAAAGATCAGTGTATGAATGAATGAATGGTAAATGATGGGAGAGAGTTAGATATAAAGTAGAAATATGATGAAGTTGTGTGGTTTTTGCTTATCTATATTCGTTTCTTCGCCAATTCTTGGTTGTGATGTGTACAAACTGGGTGAATATATGTAGAAGTTGTATTTATAAGTCACACATTAAGTTCTTTGCCATTATATTAGTAACATGAAATCTTCAATGCATTTGTTCTATGTTTTGAGTATATGGAAGCAAAAGTACATTAGCGTTCACGATCCCAGCTCAACGTTGTTCTCGCTCATCAAATTATTAAATAATGATATCAATTTCTTTTCCACTGTGAATGCGATTAACTTGGAACTGATAGGCTACAGTTTCTATCGATTTTTGTTGAGCTTTTTTATCTTAAAAACTTAGATCCTTGTACTGATATGAATGACTTTTTCAAATATCTCGAGTCAAGCTCGTTGTTCAATGCTGTTATATTATTGGGTTTTTCAAGATTTTTCTTTAACGAGAGTTTCAACCTGAATTTAGTGGCGTTGCGTTTCTTCCTTTTTTTTCTATTCTTTTTTTAGGTATAATTTTGATTTTTTTGGAAAGTCTTCGGTTGTCGCTACCCTAGAATTCATCGCAGACAAATAATTATAATTTAGAGATTAACTTGATTATTTGCTAACTAAGCTTAGGTACTCCCGCAGCAAATTGGCGTTCATACAGGAAATGCATTTTTGGGTCTCATCTCATTTGATCGCTTGTTCCCTTTATTTATTTATTTATATTTATATTTATAACTTGTAACACCTACTCATTGAAAAGCTTGATTCACTGTCATTGCTACGGACTCGGAGTACGTTTTGTAGAAATTATTTTATATGTAAAAGAAATTTAAAAAAAAAACCTGATTTACATATACTTACATAATTACGTCACAAAATTGTAAACAACTAAACACATCCAGTTTAGAACATAACAGAGGTAGGCAACCTAAATCAGATTTGGATCTAAGTAGGATCTCTGAAGTCTCAATTAAGTAGGATCTCAGATTTGGATCAGATTTGGCTCGTCCATCCCATTGTCTCAATCATGTTGTGTCCCGTCTATCTAAAAAGAAAATTAAAAATTATTTTTGTGAGTAAATAGTAAGTATTATTGCGTCAATTATCTTTTTAGTGTATGTAAGTTTTTTTTCAGTAATGGTCCATCTAAAGGTTTCGGTCCTAGATTGGCTTCTATATAATTCATAGAATAAAACAGCATCTTGGGTGAAACAAAGAGCGGTTTAGTCAAAAGTAACTACCCTGCACTCACTCCAATAAACAAGTACATTAGCAAGATGAATCTCTTCCTCTTTTGGTGTCAAAAAGTTAGGCAATCAAGGCTAAAACATATACATATATAGAGGAGTAAAAAAAACATATGCGACAGATATTGAATATCATTGAGCTCTTAGACTAGTTGCTCTTCTTTATTGTAAGTTTGAAAAAGGCATTTCTTTTTAAATAATTTGCTTGGGACGTAAATTGTCTTCAATATTTCTTTATGTATCAAAAAAATGTCTTCAATATTTCTTTATGTATCGAAGAGTCTTCTCTGATAACATTGAGTCAACTTCCATAGACAGAGTGATTTTCCATATTGGTGTGCGTTCCTTTACTCGTAAACAGTTTCTATTTTTATATTTATTTATCTATTACATATAATGAAATTAGACCAACAAGAAAAATCGCAAATAACGTTCAAGACTCTATTAGAAAACAAAACAAAAGCACTATCAAACATGCTGTAAAAAGAATTATTGGTATGACAAAACATGATCTCAAATGTTGCACATGACAAGAGTAATGGAGACAGCTCATTCACTTTGGCTACCTGACCATAGGAAACAAGTTGCTTTCGAGAGCCATTCTTCGAGGACGATGGTGCAACATGCTCTGCCACGTCTCAAACCATGACATCATGTCAAGGCTCCATGTTCTTCTTCGATCTTGGCATATAGTTTGGGAAGCTTGCTACCCAATTGTCATAAAGAGAGAGATAAGCTCCTCCAGGTCGTATTGGCTTACTCCAAGATGATATGTAGCCTAGGAGAGGGATCGGTACGAAGTCGAGTTTTGGCCATTTAGAAACTTCTTTTGCTTGGAACATGGTGCAATATCTAACCCAGGAGAAGATTCTCTATTTGATGCTCAAAATATCAATTTGATACTCATCGAGAATTGTAATAGTCAGTTATGCCATGCTATAATTCAAAATGTCAATCCAGTGATCCAGTTTACACAAATACAACTGCTAATATACCTGCTCTCTGGTCTTCATTTCCACCAAAAACAAGCCCATTGGCTGTACAAAAGGCATACTTTCGTTGTCATAAAGCAAAACAACCCTACGGAGTAATACATTTGCTACTAATATCAACCAAAGATGCCTCACTAATCACCTAACGAGTTTTCATTAACAGCCTTGTCAATTTCATCTACATGATTACGGAGAACATTCCACTGCAGAAAGACAACCATTGTAAAAAGTAGAAAGATGATTAACTTCTCTAAAAGAACAAAGAAACACAAAAAGATATTGAAGCTTAAGAAAATAAAAATAAGTGCATACCTGATCCAAGGATAGCGAGATGCCTGGAAACAAAATGAAAATCAAACGGCATACTCAACTTCTACATTTGCAGTATTATATGCAACCCACTCATATAATTATATCGTCTATGGTAAGTTAATATTTATAAAATAGAAAATATCAAGAGCGTCCAAATATTCCATTGTGAGTTAAATCAATGATAGACTGGAACGAAAATCATGACTAATTTGTCAATGCAAGTTTATCGTTAGCAACATTTTTTTAAATGCAAAGGCCAACATTTTGTGGGTTCTTGTTCTTGTTTTCTCTGAAAGAAAATCTTGATTAATCATTAAAAAAATGAAATAGTCAATTTCCATCGAGAACAAATGAAATATACAAAGACAATAAAGGGAAAAAAAAAACTAAAACAAAAGGGCCCAAGAACAATAGACTAACTACAAAGCTACCAAAGAAAAGCTCAAATTTAAAAGAATGAGAGATAATGAACAAAAACTAAAGTCCTTAGCCACACAAGTTTAAACTCAAATTTAAACAAGTACCCTACCAAAACTCTAAATGCCATCAGGGATTAATTCCCCCATTTGTACTTGGAGAGAGATTTAAAATAGAGGCCGATCAGAGGTTTTATTGCATAGTTTTTCATTTGGAGAAACGCTCTTCTGTTCAAATTACTTCACAGCTGATAACGTGAGATCCAAAATTTTCAGTGTTTTACTATCTTATTTTATGTTAAGCTTGGCTACATATGCAACTTCATATATTTATATATATGACTACACAATATAGCATGCATAGTGTTGCAATCCGAAAGGGTGCAAGCATTAGAACTGAGATTGTTGAAATGCATCAAGGGATGGACAAGAAGTTGTGTAGTCCTACCTATACATAAGCAGACCTTTTTTTGAACAAGTACCAATATATTTAAAACGTTTCCATGACAGCCCAGAAATAAATGGTAGTAGTAATAAATCCCTTTTGGAGTGTAAAAAAGGGTTATGAAGATTGAACCACTGCAAATCAAAATTTGAAGCCTCGGTTTCAACAGCTTTTAAAACAAGAAAGTCGGATTCCAACCCATCCAAATCAGAAGTCTTTTTTGCAATAACTTTTCAACCAAAAAAATCAAACTTCTATCCTCCACAATTGATTTCTCCTGCACTGAAACCAACCTATCACTCTTCGCTAGATATATTCCCACTTCCACTATTGGCCCAACTATCTTTCTCCTTCTCCCTCGTTCATATGGTTCTCTTTCTCTTATGCTAAGTCTGCCTCTAAATTTTCTCTACTACTCTATATCCTTGTCTGAGAGATTTGGGTGATAGTAATCATGGAACGGCAGAAGACACCATAATTGTTCTTTATTTTCCAATAACAAACGAGTTCTCTGCTAAGTATGCTTCTGCTACATCTCAGCATATCCAAATTTAAAAATAAAAAATAAGTTTTGCACCTTTTGAGCTTTTTGAAATACTATGTCAGCCCTCCGAAAGTTCATACATCTAGTAAGCAGGACAAAAGGCGACAGTTGGTGGGGGTGGTGTCTGAAAGTTGAGAAGGGGTGAGTAGTGTAGGAAATTGGTTAGGAGATTAGTCTGAGGAGAAATAGTCTCTTGGGAGAGTTTACCAAAACTCGCAAATTGGCTGGGGAGTTCTACCTTGTATCTTGATGCAATATATATATTTTTTCTGTTTATGATGATAAACAAAAAAATTTATTGAGAGAGTAGAAGGGCATAGTCCACAAACAAAGGGGAAACAAGAATCAATCTACAGAAGGGGCTTCAATCCAGTAAAGTATGACCTTGTTATTTTGTGAACTCATCGTTGGTTTCTATTATCCATCAAAGGAAAATAAGGAAGATACCCAACAGTTTGACACATGCCAAGTGTGTGCGAAATACCGAATACTCTACTCAAAACAGAGTTTATATGTTCCCCATATCAATAGAGTTCAGTTTATTTGAACCTAAACAAGTTTATACAACAAGCTAGATTACCTTCACCGGGAAAGTTTCTAAACTTTCTAAAGTAAAGACACCTTTAACAAGCTTAGAATTCCTTGATGCTATTTTTCCAGGTAGTGGCTTTGGTAAGAGGTAGAGAAGATGCATGAGGGGGTGTGTCTCAATTTTCAAATTTTTGGATAAGTTTCAATACCAAGCCTAAAGCCTAGAGGTAAGGTTACGTTTTTTAAACTTCCCCACAATAATGAAAGGTTAAAAGGAATAAAATCTCCTTTAGAAGCATACAAATATCCCTCTATCCAATTAAAATGATAACAAAAGCTGTAAAAACTTTCATACCGGGAAATTTTTGTTTGTTTGTTTTTTATAAGAGACCAACTTTCTATAATTTCTCTCTCTCCAAATGCCCACAATAAAGTACACACCCATTTGGCATAAAGAACATCCTTTCTCCCAAAATGGCGGATGGGGGTGGAACTGTTTGATCATTTCACTAAAATCTTTGTGTCAAGCAAGCTATATGCCAAACACACCAATGAAGTAATTCCACACCATTTGAGCATAATCACAACTTGAAAATAAAGTATCCTAACCTTCCACAGCCCTCTGAAAAAGGATACAACATATAGGCCTTCCCAAAATGACAACTTCCTCAAAAGCCTATCCAAAGTATTAATTCTTCCATGGATAACCAGCCGAAAAATAAATAAATAACTTCAACTTTTTTAGAATTTTCACCTTCAAAAGAATCAAAGAAATAGACTCCCTAGATGGAAAAGGGCACAATAATAATGAGAAAAGCATTCAAAAGTATTAGGGCTCCACAAATGAAATCCTCTTCCGATCTAAGCTCAAACTCTCCGGTTAAAGAAAGGAAAGCCATTACCTCCATTGTTTTCCTGTCCAAGAAATGACGGAACCTAAACAAATGACAAAATGAATTAGTACATCAGTAAAACACCAGTCTTTCATAGAGAATAAATGATAAGACCAGGAAACATGCTGTAGAGGGGTCGATCCATCATCCACCTATTGTCCCTAAAAAATGTATCACTCCTATCACCACCACACACTTAATTAAATCAGAAAAAGAAAAAGGCTCATTGAAAATATCTTTCCACAGGTTTTTGAATGTGCCTTTAACCCCACTCGACGTCCATTAGAAGGAATGAGAGTAATACTAGCTCACGATAATCCTATACCAACGAGAAGTAGACTCAAAAGGGGAAACGCCGTCACCACTTTGCCAATAACCCTATGTTACAAGCCCATAAATTCACTAACTCCCAACTCTTCCTGGTGCATAGGCTTCCTTACGACCTCCCAAATAAGCAGGTGCACTCCTTTACCTTCCTCCAATCCTTCCCATAGAAGGTCCCGCATAAGTTTTTCCAAGCTCCTGCACACCAAACATAGGGCTCTAAAGAGCGAGAAAAAACAAATAGGTATAACCACTTAAAATCGACCAAATTAGGTCGAGTCTATTTCCTTTCGAGAAAAAAAAAAGTCATCCAAGAAGCCAATCTCTCTCACACCTTGTCCTCCATAGGACTCCAAATGAAAGTATGCCTTGGGTTATTTCGGAGAGGAAGGCACATGCAAGATGATGGAAAGTTGTCATTTGCCAGTTTCACACCCCACCAACAGAGCCCACTCACTCACCTTCACTGGATCACTGTTCAAACCTAGAATCCAGCATTTAGCCCTATTGGTTTTAAGACCCGATGTAGCTTGAAAGAAAGCAAGGATGTGGTTCAAAATTAAGAAGACTACTCCTTACCCAAACAAAACAATAGTAGATAGTATCATAGGCAAAGGGTAGATGAAAGGATATCCTTATCCTACCCACTTCAAAACCCTTGATATTCTTGTTGTGCGCCGAAAGTGGAACAAATGTACTCACAACACCAATGAACGAAATTACACAAAGAGACGCCAAAATATTTACATGGTTCGGAGAGAAGAAGTTCTCGTCCATCCACAGGTAGCAACCAATCACTAATAAAACAAAGCGTTCCAAGTGAATACTTCACTATCACACTACAAAGACTCTCACCAATATGTCACTCAAGAAATACAATGTGACACACAAAACTCCCCCAAATCCCGATACCACTAGTTAGGAATGGAGGGAGAAATCTCTCATACTATTGAAGAATAAAATTAGCTATTATATAGCATTACAAAATCAAATCTCCAATATGACTAAATCTGGTAGGACTAAATCTAATTCAAATAACCAAATCAAATCTAATCCAAATAACCAAAATCAAATCTAATCCAAATAACCAAAATCAAATCTAATCCAAATAACCCATCAAATCTAATCCAAATAACCAAATCAAATCAAAACTTACGACAATTTACAACAATCTCCACTTTGTCATAAGATCTCCAAGTTGATAACTGAGTTGGTTGCCACCACCTCAAGCCTCAATATGTATACCAAAAAGAATTTTCTTTTTCTTCATAAACCCATTTATAACCAATTTCCTTTTTACCTTTGTGGAGTGGTACCAAATCCCAAATTTGATTTATTTGCTAATTCATATTCTCGCCAGTGTAAGCTATCCAGCCTCTAACAATAGCATCTTTGTAACCGTTGGGTTTTCTTTTTCTTCATAAACCCATTTATAACCAATTTCCTTTTTACTTTGTGAAGTGGTACCAAATCCCAAATTTGATTTATTTGCTGATTCATATTCTCTTGCCAGTGTAAGCTATCCGGCCTCTAAATAGCATCTTTGTAACCGTTGGGAACTCCATCAATCATAGAGAAAGCATATGCTATCGTATCATCAAACCTTGCAGGTTTTCGAATTTCCCTTCGTGGTCTATTCTTGGCGATGGACTCAGGTTCCTCCACTCTTTCATTTACAAGGCTTTGCTCCCCCTGTTCTAAGACATCAAAGTTATTATCTACCTGATCAATAGGTTCTTCAGTAGGAGCAACCATATCAGGAGAGAACACCACCTTCTCCACCTGCTTCAATGCCTCGTCATTATTTTCGATTTTCTGCAAAAACATTCCAAACTCATCAAATGTCACATCTCGACTATTAACAATCTTACTTGTTTCTAGACACCATAACCTATAGCCCTTCACACCTTTGCTAAAGCCCATAAACTTGGCTTTTTTTTTTTTTGCTCCAAGATCCAACTTTAAGTCTGTCACATGATAATAAGCAGGACACCCAAACACATGCAATTTATCATAATCCCTAACAGGAGTACCCAACCATACCTCAAGCGGAGTTTTCTCACCATTTCCAGAAACAGGTAAACGATTCAGCAAGTGAACTGCATAATTGAAGCCTCAGCCCAAAATGCCTTACTCAATCCTGCTTGAGACAATATGCATCGAACCCTCTCTATTAATGTCTGGTTCATTCTCTCCACAACTCCATTTTGTTGTGGCTTACCAGGAATAGTGAAGTGTCAAACGATCCTTTCATCTCAGCATACTTTAAGAATGGATCATAAGTATATTCTCCACCGTTGTCTGATCTCAGCTTTTTTATTTGCCTGTCCATCTGATTCTCTACCATTTTCTTCCACTCTAGGAAGATTTGGAGAACCTCGTTTTTGTGCTTCATGGGATACATCCAGACTCTCGTCGAGTAGTCATCAATAAAGGTGACAAACCACCTCTTTCCTCCCAATGAGACATTCTTCGTGGGGCCCCATACATCAGTGTGAACATAATCCAAAATGCCCTTTGTTTGATGTATAGTTGTACAAAACTTCACATTTTTTGTTTACCAAATATACAATGTTCACAGAAATCAATTTTACCAGTTGTGGCACCCTTAAGGACTCCTTGGTTCACCAATGTCTGAAGCGCCTTCTCACCGGCATGCCCAAGTCTCATGTGCCATCATTTCGATGTCTTGTTCTTTCGAACTTGCCACAGCAGCATGCCCAATTATTGTGGTTCCGTTGAGGTAGTATGTGCTACCTCTTCTAGTTCCTTTAATTCCCACCAAAGCTCCACGAGCTACTTTCAAATTCCCTCCTTCCAAAATGATACAATAACCACTCGCATCCAAACCGCCAAGGGAAATCAAATTTTTCTTCAAGTCAAAGACATACCTCACATCATTGAGTTTTCGTATAACTCCGTCAAACATCTTGATTTGTATTGAACCGATTCCCATCATCTTGCAAGTACTATCATTGCCCATATAGACAACTCCACCATTGAACTCTTTGAAGTCCAAAAACATCTCTCTGTTGAAACACATATGACAGGAGCACCCAGAATCAAGAATTCATTCAATGGTTTGGCTGACTGATAAGGAGATCGTCAAGGCATTATCTGTATCAGTGTCGTCATCTCTAACCACATTGGACTTCGACCCCTTCTCTTTTAAGATTGGGCAATCTTTCTTCCAATGGTCTTTCTGTCGACAATATGCACACTCATTTTTATCAAGTTTTCTCCAATTATCAGATCTATCTCTCGACTTTGATCGAGACTTTCCACGTTCGCTCTTTTTCAAAGTAGAAGTCCTTCCACGAGCAGTGAGAACATTTGAGCTAGAATCTTGATATGCCTCCTTCTCCTTCTTTCGGACCTCATTATTCATCAAGACATTTGAAACATCTTCAAAATCAATATTAGTGATTCCATGTAGTAGAGTGGTTACTAAAAACTCATAGGACTCCGGCAAAGAATTTAATAACAACAACGTCTTGTCTTCGTCATCAATCTTAACATCAAGATTGAGCACATTAGTGATGATTTTGTTAAAATCATCCAAATGCTCAGCCATTGAGATACCTTTCTTGTAGTCAAAACGAAAGAGTTTCTTCTTCAAATAGAGTTTATTTTCCACTCTTTTGCATATATTTCGCCTCAAGCTTGTCCCATAGTTCTTTCCCCATGGTCACCTTCATAAATGGATATTTCTGAACCTTGCCAAGACAGGATCGAATAATTCCGCAAGCTTGTCGATTTAATTTCGTCCATTCAGCGTCTGTCATGTCTTCAGGCATCTCCTCTTGAAGAGAAGCATCAAGATCTTGCATGACCAGCAAATCGCTAACTTTGCCTCGCCAAACACCAAAATTATTGGTCCCATCAAATTTCTCTACTTCAAAATTAGAACTCAAAAATCTAGATCCACGCCGTGATTTAATTCCAGATGATTATGCCATTTGCAATAAGTAATCTGGATGTAATTAAAAACACAATTCTTGAAAATTGATTTTCAAGAAAATAAGCACGATTGTGAGCACGTCTAGTGGTCGATGAGGCCAAAACTTTCACAATACCCCAAATACCACAATCAGGCTCTAATACCAATTGTTGTGCGCCGAAAGCGAAACAAATGTATTCACAACACCAATGAACATAATTACACAAAGAGACACCAAGATATTTACATGGTTCAGTGAGAAGAAGTTCCCCTACATCCACGGGTAGCAACCAATCACTAATAAAACAAAGCATTCCAAGTGAATACCTCACTATCACACTACAAAGGCTCCTACCAATATGTCACTCAAGAAATACAATGTGACATACAAAACTCCCAAATCCCGATATCAAATTTCAATGTGGGTATGACTAAATCTAATTCAAATACCCAAATCAAATCTAATCCAAATAACCAAATCAAATCTATTCCAAATAACCAAATCAAATCAAAACTTATGACAATTTACCACAATTATTACCTTCAATATTTTAGGAGACCATTCTGCTCAAAACATCTACAACAAGCCAAAATAAGAAAGGAGATAAAGGGTCCATTTGCCTAAGACTTCACGAAGTTGTGATCTTACCCTTAGGATTTCCATTAATGAGAACAGAAAATTTTATCGACTTGACACTAACTCCAAATCCAAGATCTCCATTTATAACTAGAATCTTTATTGTCAATATTTTGTCAAGGGAATTCCAATCCACATGGTCACAAGCCTTTTCAAAATCGATCCTTATTTAATGCCAACTCATTGTCACCTTTTTTTTAATTTTTCCCTTGTTCCCTCATGCTTCTTTAAACATTTATCAAAAGTCCTCCACTTCTATGTACACCAATTCTTCCACATAATACCCCACTAACACCTCTTCAGCCACCAAAACCCTATTGTTACCACTGCCAAAAGCGTCCCAAACTTATTACCAACCACCTTCTATAATATATTTCTAGAACTCACCGATTCCAACCTTTCCAAATTCCCTTTAAACTCTTAAGTTTCATTTTTCCATGCTAAGCCCATAGGCATATGACTTTTTCTCTAACATCTTTGCCAATTAATTTTTTTTTTTTTTTTTTTTTTTTTATAGGAGACAATTTCATTGATGATTGAAATTTACAAGAGGAATGTATAATCCATGGTGTTTACAAAAGACCTTCCCAATTTGCAATGAGGGAAGTATAACTATAGGAAGTAAAAATATTAGACAATTAACACCAAGATATAGCTTGGTAAACAACATTGTCGTAAAGTTTTATGTTGGTCTGTTTCTTGTCTGCAAATATTCTCTGATTTCTTTCTTTCCATAGGTTCCAAAAGAAAGCCATGATGAGGTTTTTCCACAACAGGGCTTTTGCGTTCTTGAAAGGGTGGTACATTAAGGTCGTATCCCAAAATTCCTTTACCTCCCTACGAAATATGAGATGTCATCCGAATATATTGAGAATCGTTATCCAGAAATTCTGAGCATATGTACATTGCATAAACAAGTGACTTTGCGATAAACCATCTTTGTCAATTAAATTAACCAACTATTTATATTTAAATAAACCATCTTCCTCTTCCAAATCCAGACATTCCACCTTCTCCTTAATCAGCAACTTGTATAAGTAAACTTCAACAACAACAGAATTTTTTATCATTTGAACCCCCATGTTATCTTACATGAATTGTGAAAATATTGTTCGGCCCACCTTCTACTCCTACTTCACTTGAAGTTTCAACACCAACTATTCAAACAGAATTAAATACCTTGAACTTGGAAGCTGCTTCTAAAAATCCTCCGAGGACACTCCTCACTCTACCAACTATTTGAACCACATAATTTCCTTCGTTAGGATATGGATCTCCGTTTCAAATGGTGGAAGTCACTATAGTTTTCTTGCAGCCTCCAAGAAAGCAGGCATATTCAAAGCTTTTCTCCCGCAATTTTAACATATAGCTTCAACAATCTCTTCTTTCCATAACATCAAAGGTATTTCATGAAGCTTCTCCATTCCCCATGACATGGTATCACTTCATGTCAAGTTTACCATGTTGTTCGCCAATCTACCTTTCAACTTGAGCGAGAAAGCCCACCTTAATCTAACTCCTCCTTGACTACTCTTCATAGCAAAGGATTGAGCATGTGATTCTTAATGTATAACCTTCCTTTAAGGCTTCCGTAATACTGTATCAATTAGTGTGAAATTGACGTCTGGTCAGGTATGTTTCCAGCCAAATTGGGCATACTCAAGTCTCTTCTTCACCATCTTTTTTTCTTTTCTTTTTTTTCTTCAAACCCTCTACCCAGCCCTTCAAAATCTATTCTTTCATCCCTATACATACGTTCTTCCTTAAATATTCCCAACAACTATTTTACATCAACCAGATAAGAAAACTATCCCCAAATCAAAATTCTTGGTGGATCATAAAAATTGGAACCTCACTAAATTATGTCATAGCAAAAGTCCAGAGAAAGGTAAATTTTATAAAATTGCCTGTAGACCAAATGAAGTTCATAAGAATATATATGGTCATCCAAAAATATTTCCTCTTCACTTTGAACAAACATCTATGATAAAGCCATAAATGCAGTTTCCAAACATCATTACTCAAACCCCTATATCAAATTCTAGAGAGAAAAAATATGGAGTAACGCTTTACAATCTCAATATCTGATGCAAAAAGAATCTCCAACAACTAAAAGGGAGCTGAAAAAAACTATCGGTTCAGCCCAAGTGATCGTGTAGACAGTGAAACACAAGTATGAAGCAAGAAAAGTTCCCCACATTAGAATTTCATTTCACCACCAAATTCTCCCTCGACCATCATTAGACAATTCAAAACAAATACCTAGACAAATCTGAAAACGAAGACAACAGAAAACTCAAAGTGAAACATAGACCCTAGAAAAACAGCAAACCGACTTCTAAATCCAAAACGAAAAATCATTTCATCCACTACAAGAAAAACGAAAAACCGGAGAGATACGGAGAGAAAAAAGAAGACGATGATGAGATGAACCTTTCTTTCCAGGCATCTGCTTTCCATCTTTGACATAAAACTCCCGAATATCCACCACAATCTTTCCTTGCCAGTTCCTCACCATAACCCTACGGTTCTTTGAAATCTGCGGTCAGGAAAAAAAACCAATAAAAAAATTGAAACCAACATAAAAGGCAGTAAAAACAGGAGGAGGAAGGTGAAGTGAAAGACCTCGCAGACGACGATTTCATCAGTTTCATCGGAATCTTTCCTGAATGTCTTCTTTGGAGGAGCATCTCCCTCATATACATGATCTTCGTCGTCTTTTCGCTTTCCTCTTGCAGACATTTCTTCCTCCTTTGGTCTTCTTCTTCCCGAGTATGTGTGCTCAAGTGAGTACGACGGAAATCGGGTACGAACGTGAAATTAAACCTATACAATTTCCTGTGTAATAAAAAAACAGTCCTTTTCAAATTTCTATCCAATTCTCATATATATTATTTATTAGGGGTGTAGCTGGCTCCTAGATGTTTTTACAAATCAATCTATAAATATTCGCCAAACAAAAATATTTACCTTGTCTAAAACTAAATTAAAGACAACTCAATATCGATATTACTTGAGAATCAATTTAAGTAACAAAAATATAAAAATATATCATAAAATTAAATAAACAATAAAAATGATTAATTTGAAGGTGTTGTGCAGGAGAGATGAGAAAGAATAATGGGTTTTTGATGATCACAGGCTATTTCCATGGAATTGGCCACACCACCCAAAAGTACTAGACAGATTTCCAAGGATAACGATCCAGAGCTATTTTATGTGGCTAACTATGGTCGTGGGAGCATTGGAGTGGTTGCTGAAGTGTCAATCCTGTGTGTTGAAAGACACAAAGTCTTGGAACACATACATTTCAAACATATATGATGATTCTTTTATGAGAATCTAAGTCTTGAGTCCTTCGTCAACCTGTGCTTAAGCCCTATACTATGTATCTATGTGATCCCTCGTCCATTTTAATATGGATTTATGGAATGAGGATCCTATTTGGGTGTCGAGACTTTTGTTTCAACACACAATACATAGTTCTAAGTTCTGCACCTAAAGCATTTCTCTGGATAGACAGCTAAGTCACATGGTTGGTACTAATAGCTTGAAGCTACACCCATACCTAGGATTCCGTCCAGGATTCGAAATCCAAATTCTAAGTTTTGTCCTAGAATACAACTTGTATAATTTTCATGAACTAGATCTTTCAAGAGGATCAACAATTTTTAGAGGTTTTCTCATGAAATTTCTTCTAGGTTTGCTGAAGATATCAAAAGGTCACATTGCATTCAAACCGTGGTGGGTTGAGCCTCCATCACTTTCCCTCTCTTCGATGCATAATTCCATGTATCCGTGTTTAGTATATACTTGACTGACCATGTTAGAGACTATGAACCTCTACAGATAGATGGTAAGTTTAAAGTACTTTTGAGGGCGAAAAGAAAGGAGAAGAAGAAAGAAAGTGAAAGAAGCCGATTCTGAGTTAGTTTCGAAACTAAACCTCGATGAGTAGGATCATACGAACATCAACTTGGGTAGGAGTATACATGAAACTCGAAAAGTCGAAAACCCTAATTGATCTAACTCAAAATATAAGTGTTGGGTTTGTTTCTCATGCTTACTTGAGCTATCACAAATGATATCAGAGCCAGATACTAGAAGTGGACACGAGACAGTGTGCCAGCAAGGACGTTGGACCCCAAAGAGAGGTGGATTGTGGGTCCCACAATCGATTGAAAAGGAGAACGGATGCTACCGAGGATGCTGGGCCTCGAAAGGGGATGCATTGTGAGATCCCACATTGGTTGAGAAGGAGAAATTAATGAATGAATGAGACCTTACCCATTACTAACAACGAGTTTTACTCTAGATTTTAGGTGTATTGTTGTTGTTGTGCACAGTATTTTGGGTAGCATGGTGAGTGATAGCCTACTCCTCATCCATGGGAGGTAGTTAGCGACTACCCCTGTAAGTGCCAACTCTATTAACTACCCATATGATTGACATACAGTGAAGGGTAATACAGCAAAACTCTCTCTCAGGTCACATGTCTCCTAACTAGCTTCACGCCTAGCTCAACGTACTGTACCAGAGCGGAATGGGAGGTGGAAGCTCAGTAAACATTGTACCGGCTGCTATTTGCCTATAGACTACCCTTGTTTTTTTTTTCAGGGTTGATGTGGTGGTCTTTAAGGTATCTAGAGCGTCTAGACGGTTTAAGTTTGTATCTCATTTTAAGAATGTTTGGGGTTAGATCCTCGGGCCAAACCAATCTCTAGGTGCACACAAATTTAAACCTCTGACTCACAATCCTAGGGTGCAAGGTCTATTGGAAACATAATGATTTGGGTCAACAGGTAAACTGTTCTAGTTGTAGCGCCATAATTTGAACTAAGCTCTTTCATGCATGATTTACCAGGGAAATATTCCTATTGATCACCTAAGCACGTAATCCACAATTCAAACTTAACCTTAGTCATATCTGAGAACCGAGTAGGCCGATTGAAATCTTGGACCGACTAGCTGGCTCAACGTGGACTTCATGCTCCAAATTTCTCTATTCAAACTCCTTGAGTCTTTCTTAGTCTGGAAGCATTAGGGTATAAACTCTCTAATCGTCGCTCATGATCCTGCTCAGTCTACTAGAAGCGTCCCGACCTAGGTTATCCTCTAGCCAACCTAACTCTAATACCCTAGATCTGTGCAGATAAACACACTCTACTGGACATCCATCAATCACTTGGAGCACAGATCACAATAGTCGATCTTCCTGTCTAACACAACGGAAAACATATAAAACATAATTCATCACAAATCTTATCATAGGGGCATTTTGTAATTTCTTACATCATGCATACCACACTCGTCCTTATTGCTCAACTCATATTCTAGTCATGCACATTATATTTCTAGCTTCACATAATGCACTATACAACATGGTTCTCGAAAATCTCATCTGAGGGGCATAACGATAATTTTTCCATAACTTCGATGAAATTCAGATTTATCCATCAGGGCCACTGTTAGGAGCGAAAGATAACGCTACTCTGTGAAACCAGCCTTACGCTATTTCCTTCAACTCTAAGAACCATGACCCATTGACATTCGAAGACCCAACTCCTTATTTGAAATGGACAAGCCAAAGAATAACTCCAAGAACCCTTACTAATGGGTGAGCCAACCTCCAACCACTTTATTACCCCGTATATGTTACAAGCTTACATTACTAAGCTCAGCGTTCAATGGTGTCGTCAACCAACTTATGAAACCTACATATAATATCAAAACTGTCAATGTGGGATTCTTGTAGTCGAGAACAAGCTCCCAATTTTTGATGTTTCATATTTTAATATTTTATTTATAATTATAAGATATTTCTTCGTTTAATTTATGTGTTTTCAAAATGTTAAATGATGTGAATTTATACCAACGTATATACTACTAAATGAAAATGCAAACTATCTTATAATACTAACCTATAGTTTGCTAATTTAAATTGAAAAACCATCCTAAGCATGTGCCATAATCGTGTAGGTTGTAATGTCATTGTCAGCCGTACATGGGAGCCTTGTTTTTACCTGAAAAAATAAGAGAAGCTTTGGCTTGAGTATTTTAAGAAATACTCAGTAAGCGATCCCCTATCGAGGTTAAATGCAAACACATACAATTTATGAATATAGGTCTTCGTAAAAAGTGCATTCTTCATATCATAATGTGACTCGTACAAATTTAAAATGCAACGGGTGTCTTTTAAGGTGATATGAGTTTTGGAAGAAGCAAAATATAGAAACTTCCTTATCTTGAAATTAATTATAAAGTTTAAGCTAAGATACCAATTGGGTTTGGGAGCTTTAAGGTGATATGAGTTTTGGAGGTATCACTACAATTAGATACACCAATTGGGTTTGGGAGAACTGGCCCGCCATCCTTCCACTGACAGGAGAGGAAGGTAACGCTGCTCTGTGAAACCAGCCTTACACGATATCCGTCAAAGGACCATGACCCAAGGACCTTCGCCCAAGGCCCAAGACCCAACTCCTTACTTGAAATGGACGGGCCAACAAATAACTCCAAAAACCCCAAACAACTAATGGGTTACAAGCTTACATTACTAAGCTCGGCATTCAATGGTGTCGTCAACCAACTTATAAAAACTACGTATAATATCAAAACTGTCAATGTGGGATTCTTTAGTTGAGAACGAGCTCTCAATCTCACCTCTTCATCCCATATTTTAATATTTTATATGTAGTTATAAGATATTTCTTGGTTTAGTTTATATATTTTTGAAATATTAAATTATGTGAATTTAAGAATGAAATAAAAGCATTTAAGACTCGAGAGAAAAAAATAAATAAATTGGAGTCGAGAAGTGAAAATAGATTCTTATAATAAATTAGATTATTATAAATACCAATGTAAAATTTTTGAAACACGTAGTTGTAATATCTTTTTGTTAGCACATTTGCTCGTTAAAGTTATCGGGCACATACTTCATGCATACTACCCTTGTTTTATCCTATCATGCATGTATTAGAGGTCTTATTTTTTAAAGGCAAAAGTAGCGTCGTTATATTTGGTATCAAAGTTCTAGGCTTATAGATTTTATAAGCTTAAAGTGTCTTCATGGTCATAAAACGGCACCTCACAAGTACATAGACACATGATTTATTAGGTCATACTTTAGACGCCTTAGTATTTTGTAGCGAGCACATTAGATTTGATCCTTAAGACGAAGGAATTGATTCATGTGACGATATATTGATTAACATGAATTGATGAAGAATGTGATGAAGAACATGTACTCGTCCCGAACAAAGGTTCCTTCAAGTACGAGTCAATAAGGTTAATATTTCAAAGATTTTTCTCAAGTTTGACACCGTCATTTTGAGTTACTATGATATCTTTGGACTCACTAATGCCCAATAGCTTGTGTGGTTTTTATGATCCAAATCTTCAAAGGGGTTTCCAGACTTGTTTCCGATGGTGTGTATAGGTTCACCCGAGACTAAAGGGAATAACATAATGAGCCCTTAAGCTAGGGTTCGATGGTCTTATACAACAAAGTTTTATACAAAACTTTTTAGATTAGTAGACCATTTTTAACGAAGAACTAGCATGTAGTGGTCTAGACCCGTGAAAAGGGAAAAAAAATCGTAAGTTCCCTTTACTTCACCCACAGAAAGACAGGTAAACCCAATATCTAATTCAAATGCTAGAAGACATGTTATGTGGCTACGTGTTGAATTTCTCAAGTAGTTGGGACTCCAATTTTAGTTCAAAATTGTAAGTGAGCTTACTGTTGGAACGTTTTCGAGTTCAGTTGGAGGAACTGATGATGTATATTAGGATGACTTT